CCCTGGGTGTGGCTGTGGCAGGTCTGCAGGTGGGGGGTGAAGCCCAGAGCACAGCGCTCTGACCAGGGTCCCTCCCACCCCTAAAACCCGGGCCTAGGTTGTGACAGAGGAATGCTTTGTCCTCGGCCAGGAGCATGTGCATTATTGCTCTGGACCCCAGAATGTCCCGAGGAGTGACCAAGACCGGGGTGGGGGAGGGGGAAGGTGCTCGGGGCCACCTCGCTGCCCTGCCAGGGTGCCGCGTGGGGGCAGCTCTGGGGCCAGCAAGGCTGCGGAGCCCGGAGGCCCCAGCAGGGAGATCGGAGGGCAACATTCCAGCCACGGAGATCATCAGGGATCGCCATGGCAACGGGGGTGCAATTAAGGCCCGTTTCAGCTGGGAGCAGCTGTGTGCACTTTATCTGCCTTGAATAAGGAGCAGAGAAAAAACCTGGGGAGGGAAAGGGGGTGGGGAGGCGGGCGGGAGGGAAATCGCAGTTCTTTTGCAGGCCTCTTCCTGTTCTGAGAGAAAGAGGGGAGTGGGGGGGAGGGAGGAGAGAGGGAGGGAGAGAGAGAGATGGAGACCGAGGGAGACAGAGCCAGCCAGACAGAGAAAGCGGCACCGCGGGGAGACTGAGAGGCTGCAGGCGGCTTGGAGACTGGACGGGAGAGAACCAGAAAGAGACATGCACGCAGACTCACAGACTCACTCAGAAACACAGACACAGGCACAGGAGGAAGCGAGAGCTAACAGAGAAGGGACGAGGCCTTTCTAGAACATTACCACCCCTCCCCCTTTCTTACAGGGGAATTTTTTTCCAGCCGCCATGGGGCCTCTTGGCTTCTCCTTGCTCCTGACACACACACACACACACACACACACAGTCATCCATCCCCTAAGAATTTGCTCCTCTCTTGCCCCAAGCCTGGCCACTCCGAAGACTTACACTCCTTGGGGCCCTCCTCCAGGAAGCCCTCATGCCTTCCTCCCCAAGACTCCCTCCACACTCAGGGACTTCAGCTCCCCTTCTGTCCTCCCAGGGGATATGCCCAGAGTCCTGCACATGGAGGAAGGAGCAGTGGGCAGAGAAAAGAGCCTCACACTAAATAAGGGACACACCTTGAAGTTAAGAATTCAGAGTCTTATATTTTTTCCCCTTCCTGGCTGTGCCCAGATTCCAAATTCCATGTTTGGATCACCCTTCAGTAAAGGCGTCTCAGCTCTCCTGCCTGGGGGAGGGGGAAAAATGGGATCATGAAGACAGGAGGGGCTCTGTTTGAAGAAGCTTGATCTTGGGGTAGTGAACTGAGACACTCTTGTGACATACTTGGTTCCACAGTTTGTAGACGGCTCTTCCCCCAGCCAGCCCAGCACACCCCCGCCTCAGGGCCTTTGCACTTGCTCTGCCCTCTGCCTGGAACACTCTTTTTTCCACCCAATCACTTGGTTCTTTCCCTCATTTCCTCGAAGCATCTTCTCACGTGTCACCTTACCAGAGTGGCCTTCCCTGGCCATTCAGTATAAAACAGCTATGCCCTGACCCCAGGGCCACCATCCTCTCTCTGTTCCTCTGCTTCACTGTGTCCGCCTCCACCTGACCTGTCCCATCCTGACCTGCATGCTGACCTCTCTCCATGTGCTTCATAGGAGCAGAAAACTTGTTCTCTCTGCTCTTTCTGGATCCTAGAACAGGGCCTGCCCCACGGTGTCAAGGGGCCACTCCATAAACCCTGCATGGCCGTGGCTGATGGCAGAATCTCTTCCACCCGTTGGAGTCACACTGGCAGCCTCAGAGCAGAGTCAAGATTGAGTTTCCAGTGCCTTGACATCTCTTTCCCTGGGTTCCACGTAATCAGAGCCCACCCTCTCCCTTTCCTTGTCCCTCATGGGCACCCCTGTCCCAGGCCTCACTGTTCTGCTCAGTGGTGCTCAGAGGTAACCTGTTCATCCCTGCGTCCTGGGACCAAGCCCCTCCTCTTCTCTCAGAGGGGTTCAGGTGCCCCATTCTCTCTGGCGCCCTGCCCTCTTCCAGCCCCAGAGTGTCACTTTTCCTGCAGATGCCTAGGGCTCCTGACTGGAGTGAGGTGCTGTGGTTGGTGGCCAGCTGTGACTGAGCAAGCACCTCATCTCCCTGACTTGGTTTCTAGGCCATGAATCCAAGAGGTACAGCTCCATCAATAAGGGCTCCCGCTCGGACAGACCCACTGGGTGACTGGCCAGGGTGGTGGGGGGCTGCAGTTTGGTGGCTGAGAGGTGGCCGGGCAGCGTTTCCTGGGCTTTCGTGGGATACGGCTCTGCACATTCCGAACAACCCAGCACGCGGCGGCATCCCACGGAGCCTTCACCTGTACGTCGGCTGGGACACTCCTTGGGAAGTGCACAGAAAGGCTGGAGAAAGGGCAGGCTGAAGCTGCCAGGCCCACGCGGGCGGCGGGGTGGCCGCATCTATTCCTGGCAGTGCCCTTGAAGGCGGTCAGAGCGGCTCGAGGCAGATGCTGGAGCTCGGCTGGGGGCCACGGCCTGTTCCCGGGGCCCACGCGCAAGAGGAGGGGCGTGCGGGCGGCTGCCCCTCCCGACCCCGCCAGCCAGAGAATGCCTGTCAGCGAGACACCCCCCTGAGGGCAGCGAGCAGAGTGGGGGAAAGAAGAAAACCTTCCTGAAGAGACAACTGCGGGGGTTGGGGGGTGGCAAGTGGGCCGAGCCGCGGCGTCAGCCATGGAGGGGGCTGCCTTGGTCTGAGAGGCTGCAGGGAGGCTGCGGGGGGTGGGGGCGCCTCATCCCATTCTCCACAGACTGGCCTGGGACCTCCCAGAGGACAAATAAAAGGTCCCTGAGACCTGCCCGGGCCTCAGGCTCCCGCCGTCATCACTGCCTCGAGGCCTCTGCGAGAGGACTCTGGTTCGTTCCGTGAGTCTGAGGCCGGAAGCGGATGCGTAGTGATGCCTTAGAGCCCGGAAGTTCTTTACCGACCATTCCAGGTTCTACCCAACTGGCCCTTTGGTCGCCTCACAGCACTGGCTGGTTCTAATGTGGGATTCGCTGAGGGCCTCACATGCGGGCCGGGAAGACACGTTCCTGTCAGCAGAATGGGGGCGGGGGGCCCCGGGAGCCTGGGGGAACGTGGAGCCGCCTGTGGCGGGAGGTGAAGGGTTTACACACCCGGGGTACTGGCCGTCGAGTGCACAGTCAGCCCGTATGGAGCGCGTGGACCGGAGTAGGACGACTGGCTGAGGACCCGATGAGGCCCCCGGAAAAGAAAAGACAGTCAACAAGGTTGGGAGCACTGCTCCGGACCTCACTTGGGGTAGATGCAAATCAGAAGAGGTCAAATGCCAAAGGGAGGGAGGGTGCAGATACCATCACCCACCCCCAGGGCCCCTGGGACCCCCAGGCACTGCAGCTGAGCTTCACAGAGGGTTCTGCTCTTTCCAGGGGCCAAGGATGTACTGGGGCTGCCGGGGCTGCTCAGGGGCCCCCTGAGGATGGGGGGCGAGCTGCCCAGGGAGGCGAATGGAAGCAGTCACCCCCCCCCCCCCCCCCATTCAGCTCCTGGAGAAGAAAGCCCAGGTGGGGACAACGGGGCCTAAATGGAGTCCTAGACCCAAGGGAGGCCAGGGTGTCGTCCCGGCTGTGACAGTCACTGCCGGGGACTGCGGGTGAGATGTGTCGCTCTCTGTGCAGTGTCCATAGGAACAGCTGGGGACACTCAGCCCCAACCCGGCTGCCTCCCAGGGCTGTTGAGAGATGCAGTGAAAAAGGCACACAAGACTTTTCATAAACCTTGACCATGAGGGTGAGGGTGAATCCTCTCCGTGACAACACCAGCTTGTGTAACTCAGGATCTGTGTGTCTGCTAATTGGCCCCTGGGCTCCGGAGCCCCTTGGCAGCGGCTGCACAGGCGCCCCCATGGTGTGATGTTAGCCTCCCAAAATGGGAGCCTCCCTTTATGAGACTTAATCTTTTATTTTACTCCAGTTCTCATGCCAGGGCAGAATTCTACTCTTGTTTCCTCACTCCTGCAACTGATCACACCCTGCTGGATCACTGATGATCGTGAAGGAAAGCTTAGTGCTAAATGAATGAGTGAGTGAATGAAAGTTACCCATATACACCCCATGTTCCTCCTATTTGGTAGAAGCTCCTTGAGGGGAAAAGAAAGTCTAACATGCCTGGTGCTGATCACAGGGTTCTGTAGGGAAAACGCTCAGGAATGTTGAACTGAATTAATTTGGCTCCCTCTTCCTCACCGCCCCGTGGCCTTCCCATGAGTGGCTCCAAGCAGAGCAGAGGCACAGCGCCTGGAGACCCTCTGAAAACAGGCTTGACAGCTTGAGGGAGAGGGGATGGGGCTAAGGAGTAGGGAGAGAGGAGGTGTGAGAGGCCAAAGCAATGATGCTCGTGATTAAAGAGATGTCAGCAGATATTTACCGAGTCTTGCTGTGTGCCAGTGGAGAAGGCAATGGCAACCCACTCCAGTACTCTTGCTTGGAAAATCCCATGGACAGAGGAGCCTGGTAGGCTGCAGTCCATGGGGTTGCGAAGAGTCGGACACGACTGAGCTACTTAGCAACAGCAGCAGCAGTAGCAGCTGTGTGCCAGGACTGAGTGCATCACATGGACTCTCATCTGATCGTCCAGCCCGGAGGCCGGGACCATTTCAAAGGCGGTGAAGCTGTCTCATAGAGGTTAAGGACCTTTCACTGAAGGTACAGCTGCTGAGTGGCAGAGCTGGGACTCAGGCCTGACCCTGTGGATTGGCAGCCCAAGGCTTTCCTGCCTTCCCCCACGCAGGGAGCCTGGCAGTGGTGAGACCCACAGCCTCACTGGGGAGTAGGGACAAGAGGTTTTCTCTTCCCAGTTCTAACTGGCTCCTTATCCCCATCCTCCCAGGGGAGCACCCCAAGGTGAGGACCCTGTGAGCTGCCCAGGGAGGCGAATGGAAGCAGTCACCCCCCCCCCATTCAGTTCCTGGAGAAGAAAGCCCAGGTGGGGACAACGGGGCCTAAATGGAGTCCTAGACCCAAGGGAGGCCAGGGTGTCGTCCCGGCTGTGACAGTCACTGCCGGGGACTGCGGGTGAGATGTGTCGCTCTCTGTGCAGTGTCCATAGGAACAGCTGGGGACACTCAGCCCCAACCCGGCTGCCTCCCAGGGCTGTTGAGAGATGCAGTGAAAAAGGCACACAAGACTTTTCATAAACCTTGACCATGAGGGTGAGGGTGAATCCTCTCCGTGACAACACCAGCTTGTGTAACTCAGGATCTGTGTGTCTGCTAATTGGCCCCTGGGCTCCGGAGCCCCTTGGCAGCGGCTGCACAGGCGCCCCCATGGTGTGATGTTAGCCTCCCAAAATGGGAGCCTCCCTTTATGAGACTTAATCTTTTATTTTACTCCAGTTCTCATGCCAGGGCAGAATTCTACTCTTGTTTCCTCACTCCTGCAACTGATCACACCCTGCTGGATCACTGATGATCGTGAAGGAAAGCTTAGTGCTAAATGAATGAGTGAGTGAATGAAAGTTACCCATATACACCCCATGTTCCTCCTATTTGGTAGAAGCTCCTTGAGGGGAAAAGAAAGTCTAACATGCCTGGTGCTGATCACAGGGTTCTGTAGGGAAAACGCTCAGGAATGTTGAACTGAATTAATTTGGCTCCCTCTTCCTCACCGCCCCGTGGCCTTCCCATGAGTGGCTCCAAGCATAGCAGAGGCACAGCGCCTGGAGACCCTCTGAAAACAGGCTTGACAGCTTGAGGGAGAGGGGATGGGGCTAAGGAGTAGGGAGAGAGGAGGTGTGAGAGGCCAAAGCAATGATGCTCGTGATTAAAGAGATGTCAGCAGATATTTACCGAGTCTTGCTGTGTGCCAGTGGAGAAGGCAATGGCAACCCACTCCAGTACTCTTGCTTGGAAAATCCCATGGACAGAGGAGCCTGGTAGGCTGCAGTCCATGGGGTTGCGAAGAGTCGGACACGACTGAGCTACTTAGCAACAGCAGCAGCAGTAGCAGCTGTGTGCCAGGACTGAGTGCATCACATGGACTCTCATCTGATCGTCCAGCCCGGAGGCCGGGACCATTTCAAAGGCGGTGAAGCTGTCTCATAGAGGTTAAGGACCTTTCACTGAAGGTACAGCTGCTGAGTGGCAGAGCTGGGACTCAGGCCCGACCCTGTGGATTGGCAGCCCAAGGCTTTCCTGCCTTCCCCCACGCAGGGAGCCTGGCAGTGGTGAGACCCACAGCCTCACTGGGGAGTAGGGACAAGAGGTTTTCTCTTCCCAGTTCTAACTGGCTCCTTATCCCCATCCTCCCAGGGGAGCACCCCAAGGTGAGGACCCTGTGGGGCTGGCACCAGTCACCCAGACCTGGGGTGAGCCCTCCAGGCTGGGGCTATGCAAGGGAAAGGAGGGGCAGGAGCAGCCTGGGCCACCACCTCTACCTGGCCTGGGACATAGAACCCAAGGTTCACACTCTCCAATCTATCCAGCACCTGCATGTGGATGGTGAGAGGTCAGAAGTAAATGGGGGGCTGTGGTATTTGAACTGTCTTGGCCCCCTCCTCACACACACATGCCCACCTGGACAGACCCTCGCAGGCCCAGTTTGGTCTCTTCCTGCTGAGGCAAACCCTCCGTGTTTGGAAACTTCTCTGGAGCAGTGAACAAGCCTAAGGGGAAGATGGTATTAGAAAGTCGCAGGTCAGAGCCCCCCTTCCCCTTTCTATAAAGTGGAGATCTTCATACCAGCTTTGAGGTAGGGATGTAGGAGGATAAAGGCTGACGCGCATGGGGTGCCTGGCACGGCTCAGATACTCAAAGGGTAGATAGTAATAGTGAGGAGGAGGATGGTGACGTGGTGACAGACCAAGGGACCCCATAAAGCTCCCCGGGCATCCTAGCTGCCACCGTCTCTTCTCCACCATCGTCTCTTCTTCAGCAGATCCTCTTTCAGCTTCCAGGAGAAGCTCTGTGGGTGACACGGAATGAATCCGACTCATGCCTCCCCTTTCTCCCTTCTTTCCGAGTTCTCGTCAGTATGTCTGTCCCCGCTGCCGGTCTGTCTGTCCCTCTGCCCTGCTCCCTGCCTCTGTCTCCCGGTGTCTGTCACCCTGCCTCTCTTGCCCTGTCCCCTCACTGTCTCCTTGGCTTAGCCACCTTAATCATTGCGCCCTTGTAGCTCAGCCCAGCTGTCTGGCGGTAGCAGCGTCCCGCGCGGGGACAGCTCCAAGTTACACACCCGCACCTGGATGCCAGCTCTGACCACCGGACCCCAGGCCCCTCCTCAGCTGGCCCCACACGCTCCTTGGGGACTCAGCCTCCTGATAAGGCTGTTCAGCCCTGCCTAGTCCTATTTCTGTCCCCGGGGGAGGGATGGAGCAGGCAAGCCCTTGCCATGCTCACTGGGGCTGAGAGCAGCCCCGGGGGCCTCTGTCTCTTTGGGTGTTGAGTGGGAGTAGATGGGGGGCTGTGCCATCCTAGGGTCTCATCCACCCTCTCTCAGCCTGCCCTGGGCGGCCACCTGAGTCAGCCTCTCGGGAAGCCGCTAAGGCTCCCAGCCCCACCCTCAGGCTTGCTGCATTTTTAGCGAGTGCACCAAAGTTAGACCCACCCGCAGGGACCCTCCTGCTTCCCGAGGGGGCCGGGCCCAGCCCAGGGCTCTGGCCGGCCCCGTGTGCCCGCTGCAGGCCCGCCCAGTGCCTCCCACTCCCAGGATGTTCCAACAGCGCCCTCTCCTGGAAGCTCCCTCTCTTGTTTGTAAAGTCAGACCCCACTTGCTTGGGGAAGCCATGCCTGGTGTGTCTGAGAAACTGGCAGGGGAGGCAAGTCGGGGGAGCCTGCAGGCCAGGACACCCCCTCCCCACGGAGCCAGGGGTGAGGAAACAGCTGCCCCAACCCCTGCATTTCCCCCTTCTCCTTCCCCCTCAGATAACTGCAGGTGTGAATATGAGTGTGTGTGTGTGTGTGTGTGTGTGTGTGTGTGTGAGAGAGAGAGACAGTGTGTTTCTTCTGGAGAAGGGCAGTTTTGTTTATTTGGGCTGTAACCTTGACTTTTGGGTAGAGCAGGGCAGCGGGACTCTTCGGAGCCTGGAGCAAAGAGTTTAATATTCATAAGTGACCTCCCCGTAAATGGACTCCGGTGCTACAGAAGGACTCAGAGATGACACCCTCCAGCTCCCCGAGCAGTGGCCTTTCTCAGGGAGCTCATCAGCGCCTCAAGCAGCAGTCCTGACTGACCGCTCGTGGTGTTCCCAGATCTGACCTGGACGCTGGTCTCCTCCATGCTCAGGGGGTCCGTAGGGCTGTGAGGGCCCTGCGTGCAGGGTAAACACCACAGGGCCCAGGGTGGTGGGCTCAGCATCTCACACACAGCAGGAACCCAGGAAACGACAGTGTAATAGGTCAGGTCTAACATTCAGTTGGCACAGTGGCTCATTTCACAGCTGGGAGTGATGAGGCAGGGAGAAGTTAAGTAATTGGTCCCAGGTCACACCAGCATTGGGCTTCCCAGGTGTCTCAGCAGGTAAAGAATCTGCCTGCAATGCAGGAGACTCAAGAGATGCGGGTTTGACCCCTGGGTCGGGAAGATCCCCTGGAGGAGGGCATGGCAACCCATCCCAGTCTTCTTGCCTGGAGAATCCCATGGACAGAGGAGCCCGGCGGGCTACAGTCCATGGAGTCACAGTCAGACACGACTGAAGCGACTGAATACACATGCCTGCAGCGCCATAAGTGGCAGAGCTGGGATTCAAGGTCAGGCATTACAGATCAGAAGGAGAATCTCACGGACACACATGACTGTCATCGGGCTATATTCAGTTACATAAACCTCTCAATTTTAGCATCTGTTTTAGGCTCCGCTCTCAGAATATGCAGGCATGAATGTTTGTTGAGCTGACAGCTTGCCGGCATCTTGTGGTGGGCAGTGCATACCTGGTAGATGAAGGCTGGATGAATTGGACCCACACAGGGCTGGGCTTGAGGGTGTGGGAAGAGACTTGGCGTCCGTGTTGATGACCCCCACCCCCGCAGGGAGCCGTGGGTGCAGAGGGCTCGGGTTCTGCTCCCCACTCTCCCAGATTGGGGCAGGAGAGCTGGCTCCTCTTCCTGAGGGTTTTGAGGGACAGAGCTTGGCGGCCTCTCTCCAGCCATTGGGGAACCGATGCCTCATCTTCCTCTTCCTACCCACTCTGTGTGCTGGCATTGGGGTGGGGTGGGGGCAAGGTAGGGGTGCAGCTGGAAGACCTTTGCTCATTAACCCAGAGCTGCCTTGTGCGTCTACCTTTAAGCAGAAGGATGACTCCCACCTTGTCTTCTTCCACTTCTGTAGGCCAAGGAAGGAGAAGAAAGAAATCCCAGGAGGTGTCCAGGCAGATACGGGTGAGGATTCACCCCCTGCATGGCCTCATGGTCTGGCAGTAACTAAAATCCACCGGGGACCCAGCTTCACAATCCACCAGGGCCCACAGGGGACACCGGGTGTCACAGACAGCCGGGGTTCTCACCTCCTGGCTAGCTCACAGTTGGGGGGACAGACAAGAAGCAGCCCAGTATTGGGCCATGTGTGCCTTAGGGCCATGTGCTGGGGAGTCAGCGGGGGCTTAGGGACCAGGTAGAATTTTGGAGCATGGAGAAGACAGGAAGATAGGTGTAAACCAACCCAGTGCCTCAGGAGACAGAGACGGCTCTGTGGTTGGTAGCGGGCACTGTGCAGGGGAGGGAGAGAGCTTAATAGAGCAGGCAAGGGAGATATGGAGCCCGGCCCAGCAGCTCCTTGAAGAAGTCTGAGATTCCAAGTCGCCTGCAGTCCTGTGCACATGGCTCCCACCCCTCCCACAGCCCACGCTACTGGCTGCCCAGCCACTTCTTAAGGAATGTCCGGAGACACACAGCACGACCTGTTTCCTGGCATTTGGACTTGGGCTCTGTTGACCAAAGGCAGCCTGTCTGGGTTCCTTCTCCTGCAGAGTCACTGCTGGGCCCTCTCACAGCACACCTGTGGTTTGCGTCTAGCTTGGCTCAGCAGTCTCTGGCCCCGTGAGCCCATCACCCCAGCCAGACCCTTCTGCTTCTCCTGAGATATTGACGGGCCCCCTTCTCCCTTCCAGGAGGGGCTTTTGGCCCACCCAGCCATTAATTTGCAAAAGGACCATTTTCTGCTTCAAAGGAAAGATGTTTTTCCCTCTGAGATCTGCAGTTTTTTAATATTCTCAAATGACTAGCCATAATCGATCTAAGATCGAGTTTGGTGCATGTTGAGTGTGGATTCTCAATGTCTGTTTTCATTTGTTTACGGCAAGACCCAGTGAGCAGGCAGATGAATGAGGGGCCTGAGGCTTGGGGCCCCACGGAGCCCTTGTCACCTGGATTTTCCAATTTCTTCCTTCAGCTGAGCTGCTGATGATTTTTATCCCTCTCCTCCTCCCCAACTTCAACCACTTTCCTAAAGCGCCCCCCACCCTCACCCCCCGATGTAATTGGTCCTCCTTTCCCAGGTCTGCGAGCCCAGCAGCATGACCAGCCCTGTGCCAGACACTAATGGGGAGCCCATCACTAGGAGGAAGCTCGGACCTCTAAGCTGTGTGGTCAGGGGTCTCTGCAGTTCAGACTCAGAGATCCAGGAGGTCTGAAGAGACCACCTGTGAGTTGCGGTAGTCAGGAGGGCTTCCTGAGAGAGGGCGACTGACTGGGCCTTAAAGAATAGAAGGTTCCCTGGGCCAGGGCCACGTCCGGTCCAAGGCAGGGGAGAGTCGGCCAAGATCTCAAGTCAGAAAGGGTTTAGACAGCAGCAGCGTGGCAGTAATGGTAACAATCGTTAATATACCCACCGTCTGATATCTGTATTCTTTGCACCACTTGCCAGAATCGTCCTCGGGTCCATCAGATCCTTTAACAAGCTCAAGAGGAGATCAGGGGAGAATTCTTATCTCCATTTCAGCAGAGAGACTTAGATCCAGAGAGACTGCACGGTTTACCCAGGATCCTAGGAGAACAAGTAGATGGATGGCTAGTTGGGTGGGTGGGGAGTTAGGTGGATGGGTATTTAGCTGGGTGATGTAGGTATTTTGGGCAGCTGGGTACTTAGGATGACAAGAAGACTAGCTGACTTCAACCAACAGCCATGTCTCCCCTCCTGGCCACTCAAACAGTAATCACCTGCCCCGTAGGAGGCAGTTAGTTGTATTTTGATTAAGCCAGTGCTATTCACTAATTATTCCCTGCAGGTCTCACGTCCTCCCTGGAAAAGGAAACAGCTTCTCCTCTGTCTGTTCCCTCACCTCCATGTGTGTATTTTTGGAGCTAAAACTCGGGACATCTGGTCCAATAAGGAGGATGAGCTCCTAGACGGTAGGAGATGCGAAATCAGGGCTGCCCGGGACTGAGAGGTGAGCTGGGCTGCTGCCCCGCTGGGCTGGGGACAAACTGGGCACTCAGCCATAGCCAGCAGGGCCCGCCGGGGCTGAACAGGAGGCAAGGACACGCTTGCCCTTCCTCCATGGTTCTCCAGGATGTCCTCAGAGCTCCAGGGGGAGCACACAGCCCAGCATCCACCTCGCCCCCCCCAACCTGGTTGTCAGTTCCAGCACGTTCCCCCTTGCCGAGGCCCCCCAGCCAAGGCTGCCTGAAAAACTCCACCGGGAGCATGTACAGGACACCTTGGGTCTAATGTAACATTTAATGGCCAAATCTCCTCAGGCCCCTGCGCTAATACAGAGCTATCTCACTGGTTCTTACCAGACAGAGTCACACTGCTAATGGCTCCAGGGCTGAACCTGGGCAAGAGGGAAGGGGTGAAGGACGCAGTGATCACAGACACCTTGCAATAGCCGGGAGAGGCGGAGGTGGGCCATCGAGAAGGCCGGAGGTCTGCCCTTGACCTCCAAAGGCCAGGCCCGCAGCATTTACCTCTCACATCCCAGGAGCCTGAGGCTGGATTGTGTCCACGTCCTTGGACACCCAGGGGCAGGAGGAACTGTACCCTGGCCAGCCAAACACTTCCGGGGCCCCATCCATGCCCCTCTGCTCCGTCAGGTAAAATGGAGCAGGCTTCCCGCTGGCACTCTCTCCAATCAGACCCCCGTCCAGCTCCTCCTCTGACCAGCTGCTCAACCTTGCACGTGTCGCTTTGCTTCTCTGAACCTCAGTTTTCTCGTCTGTAAAATGAAGGACGGCCCGGAGAGTCCCCGAGGCCCTCTGCAGCTCCAGCCTCGGACTGCAGGGCCGCTGGCTCTCAGGTGGAGGCAATTTCCCAGATCACTGAGCCCCACCTGGCCACCATCGTGTGGGGGCCTCCCCTGGGCACCGGCCGTCTGGAAGCACCGCCATCCATCTTTGTGAATATCTGGTTAAAACACTCACCTAATCCTAACCTAATCCTTTCAATTTGGGGAGAGAATTGAAGGGGAGAAAAAAAAAAAAACACAAGCAGCCTGAAGCCTGAATGCTAACAGATGGGTAAAAAGTATGTATAAATTACACCCGCTGCTGTCAATTCAAGCTCTCCAGATAAAGTGATATGAAAGGTGTTTCATTTATAGGGGAAATTAATTGCCAGCTGTATGACTGGATGGTGCAAAGAAACCACAGCCACACGATGTATCCCATATATTTTTCCTGGCTAGATTCAACACTGTCTGTGCCAAGGGCACCCACTTGATTCCAGACCTTGGGGTGGGGAGCACTAGGGTAAACATGACCCTAAACCGACCCTTCCTGAGTTAGGATGCAGCCAGGGCAGCTTCAGACGTGGAGGCACTTGGCTTTGCCTCCTCCCCTCCTCCAGGAGGGCTGGTGGAGGTCATATCCATGACTTCATCGTGGTCCCGCTTTCCTCATCCTCCAGGGATTGAGTTGTGTCTATTCCATGTGTGAAGGGACAGCTTCTACCCTGTCAGGGCTCTGAGCACAGGACCAGATGGCAGTCCTCTTGTGCCCCGACACCCCTGAGGTGGACACTGACTCCTGTGTGAGTGTGCAGCAGGGTACCTGGAGCACCAGTCACATCGTTTATTCTGTGACCACCCACCCCCTCTGCAGCCAAAGGGCAACGCTTGACCTCTCTGGCCTCAGTTTCCACATCTACAGAGAGTGACTGTCTCAGTCAGCTCAGGCTGCTGTAATAGAATACCATAGACGAAGTGGCTCGAACTGAAGAAATTTGCTTCTCATGGTGGTAGAGGCTGAGAAGTCCAGGATCAAAGTCCTGATGAGAGCACCCCCCTCCCCACCCAACCCTCCCTGGCTTGCAGACGGCCACCTTCACACCTGGCAGAGAGGGATGGAGCTCTTGTCGCTTGCTGTTCTTACAAGGGCACTAATCCCATTGTGAGGGCCCCACCCTCATGATCTCATCTAAATCAGCCACTCATCAAAGACCCCTGCTCCCATTACCATCACCTTGGGGTTTAGGGCTTCAAGGTATGAATCTGGGGAGACACAATCAGTCCATAACAGGCATGCTTAATGGAAGGCCCACAGTTCCTTTCCTGTGCTGATCTCAATGTTAAGGGTCTTATTATCACTGTACGTGCTGTGGAGATCAGGTGGCCAAGAGGACATCTCTGTAGGAGGTGGCAGCAGCAAGGATGAGCCTGAACTCCTCTTCCCCAGAGACTGTTGACGGAGGAGGAGGCAGGCCTCACAGGAAGGGACCTCCCTAGGCCTTGCCTGGGTCCCCTGGGATAGGGTGGGGAGGCAGAGTGTTGGTAAAGCCAGGACAGTTTGCACCCCACACTTCTAGTGTCTGTAGGACCTCCCTCAACACAGTCAACTCCACCAGCAGCTCTCTCTGGATTGTTTGGTGATGAAGTGTGTTGGTCACTTAGTTGTGTCTGACTCTCTGTGACTCCATTGACTGTAGCCCATAGAGCTCCTCTGTCCCTGGAATTCTCCAGGCAAGAATACTGGAGTGGGAGGCCATTCCCTTCTCCAGGGGAGTCTTCCAACCCAAGGATTGAACCCGGGTCTCCCGCATTGCAGGCAGATTCTTGACTGTCTGAAGCCACCAGGGCACCCCTGGTGACCAGGTCCTTCCTTACCAGAACCATTTCTGAGAAGGGCAAACTGAAGTGCTAAGAGACTTCCCAGCTCTCAAACCACAGTCCCCTCCACTGACGGACACCCAGCAGCTGTCTCCTGCACTCTCACCCTGCCCCCTCACCCCATCCTGTCCAAAGAGCAGGGGGAGAGCCTCCAGACTGAGAAACTCTCTGTGGCTCCTGCATTCCCTGCCTGCCCCTTCTTTCTCTCTTGGGCAGAAGGCCGGGCCTGTGTGAAGAGGGCTGTGTAGGGCACACACAGGACCCTGCATGTGCACAAACCCGCCTGTGCACCCCGGGGTCTAGAGCCGCAGACCCCCCCCACACACACCTGCCTGAGGGGCCTTTCCATTCTGATGGGGGGAGGGGTGAGTGGGAGGATTTCCATCCTGTGCCACCCCCCCAACGTTTATCAGAACTATTAAGACAATGAGCTAATATTCTATTCAGATTTAAATAATAAATTAATCTGCATAATACTGAGGAGGCCTGAGAGAGACTTAATTATCTAGTGTACTTTAGGGTGGAAATGGAGGGTGGGGATCGTGCTGGGAATAGACAAACATACCGGTGATCACACTGAGGCTGGGTTGAGATGCCGGCCCCTGGTCTGAGGTAGGGAAGTGCCCCTGCTCCATCTGGCCCCGAGAGACTCCCTCCGGTGGGGAGGATGCCTGCGTCTCTGACCACCCCGCCAGGAGCACCGGGGACATGGGTCCTCACACCACTCGCCCTCCTGTGCAGGAAGCAGGCAGCAGCTGGGAGAAAGCAAGAGACTGGAGACCCTGTGCAGCCTCCAGTGTTTGCTGGGGAAGCACTGGGGTCTTGCTAAGTAGTGTCTTGACTCTGCAACCTCATGGACTGTAGCCCGCCAGGTTCCTCTGTCCATGGGATTCTCCAGGCAAGAATGGGAGTGGGTTACCATTTCCTTCTCCAGGAGATCGTCCCGACTCAGGGATCAAACCTGCATCTCCTGCGTTGGCACGCGGATTCTTTACCACGGAGCCACCAGGGGAGCCCGGTGTGACCGTAAGCAGGCTGATTAACTTCTCTGAGCCTCAGTTTCCCTCTATCAAATGAGGGCACTGCCACCTGTGTCCAGAGTAGAGATGCCCAGGTGTGCAGCTTCTAGTTCCCAAGGGCAGGAAGCCCTCAGGAAACGGAGAGGCATAGAGGGTCGCCATGAACTGTGTAGAGTGAGCGTGTAGTCCCCCCAACATCTTAAAACTCAGCGGTAAGCAGGGCGGTAGGGTTGACACTTGTGTTCCTCAGCTAGGCAAGCAAGCGCCAGACCTGTGGTTAATTTTTCTCTCTAGCTGGTTCCTGCTGCTCCCTGGGAGCCAAGCTTTTCACACCCCGAGCCAGCCTGCCCTAGAGAGGACTATTTTCAGCACAGCAGCTACAGCAACAAAGATGTGAAGTCACTCCTGCTGCCTTCAGCTCACTCTGCCCGCCCTCCCCAGCTCCTGGGGGAGGTGAGGGGAGGGGGGGAGGCCAGGCAGGGGTCCAGAGCACTGCCCACCCACCCTCCATCCCCTGCACTCTGTGACCCCCCCCCCTCCCGGGGCCCATTTCCTCATATCCACTAGTTTTCTCCTCCCCTCCCTGCAGGTGGCCTTAAGGCTGGGGTGGGGCTCTGCCTGGGAGACCAGGGGTCCGGCTGGGCTCTCTCTGGGAAAGACACACTGAGATGAGCTAGCGCTGAAGACCAGGGTGTCAATCAAGGCTGAACCCAAAGGAACGGCTTCCTCTTCTGGGAGTCTCCAGGGAGCTGGGACCTGGTAGGTGTGTGATGAGGTGGGGGCATGGGGGAGGCACCTGAGTGATGAATCATCGCAGAGGACCCAGGCAAGTGGGTGTTGCTGAGATCTCGAGCTGAGAAGAGCTTGATCATTTGTTAAGTTCAAAACCTGTCAGTTGTCTCATTCAGCTCGGCAAAGAGAACCGAGGATGGGAGACCTTCCACCACAAGGGAGAGAAACTTAGTGGCCAAGGGAGCAGACACCAGACCAGAGGAGTAGGAGCTGCCGCTGGCTGTGGAGAGGGGAAGGCGTGGCAGCCTCGCCCAGACCCAGACTAGAGCTGCACATGCAGGGCGGTGACATGTCAGACACGGCACAAGCCAGGAGCACCCCCCAAAACTCGCTGCCCGTCCAGGTCCAGGGAATGAGGCAGCGGTCACCAGTCAGCCTGCCGATCCCTGGGCCTCCTGAGAGATATGCAATCCCCATGGTTTCTAGTTGCTCCTGTTCCTCTCTTGGAGAAAATGCAGCTGGAAAAATACCTCCTGTCTCAGCTTGGCTAGTAAGGGGTTTTGTTGCCAGGCAGCCAGAATACTGAGGATCTAAGCCCTGACACGTGGGATGCTGTGAGAGGCAGCACCCCCCAAGCACCCAAAGAGGGGCCAAGGGAAGACCCAACAGGGGCTGGGGAAGATAGGAACCCTTACAAGTGAGGGCAGGGCCTGGTTCTGGCCCCTCACCATGCCCCCTAGAGTTTCCCCTCCTGTGGACTGGTCATTCTTCCCACCCGGGGTTTCAGAGGCGGTGGTCCAAAGATCCAGATTCATATTGCCAGCACCAGTGAGCTGCCATCCACCCCCAGGGACAACAAGAAACAGCAAAGGGAGACAAGCTTGTTTTCCCTGCTTGGGGCATCAGCTGGGATATGAAGGTGGGGGCTGGGGGCTGGGTGGCCTATTCAAGGGTGAGCTTATGAGCTGCCTTCCAAACCAAGTGTGAGGACACTCGAGGCATTGGCTGCAGGGAGCAGAGTCCCCTCCTCA